AGAATTATAGTAGTATACTATTTGTATTAAAAGATGTGTACGTAGTTTGGTTGTAACCATTAATTCTTTTTCTACAACACATATCAACGATATCTCCTTATTTCGTTTAAGAAAAGAAAACTTCTCTCAAGAATCCTAAATTATCATTTAAACATTTGAGATACTGATTCTTTGTTTTCGACGTTAACAACTGTTTTATGATTAATTAAATAAAATATAGTAAAACAAAAAATAATGTTATTTGAAAGGAATATGAACAATAACATCGTTCTATGTTACAAGGAAAGCAAATAAAAACAAGAAGACCAACCAAAAAAAAAAAAAAACCGTGGGGTACATTTAAAAGAAGTAAATCATGGGGACATGACCGCATGCATGAAACTATGTTCAAAGTTCAAACCTGGGTAATGGGGTAAAGATGGAAGGACATTACCAAAAATGCCACTAGCTGATAGCTATAGCAAATTGACGTAGCAAATTAACTTTAGAAAGTTAAAATCATAAACTCTATAGAATCACTTTTTATATTACCAGTATTTTTTTATTGAATAAAATATATGAAAAGACAAAGCAAAAAGATTAATAATTATTGAGTTACATATATCTTTATGGATAATTATAACACACATTTTATAATTAATATTATAAAAATATATATCATAATTATTTAGTCCTAATCATTACGTACATATATACATGAAATGTCATCAGGTTATCTGTTAGTACTATTTTTACATATAGAAAATAAAATAAATTTGAGGATAGCAATATTTTGTCATTAAATACAAATATTTATTTCTATCCTATGAATTTTTCGTCTTGCTAGTTACAATGATTCTTCAAAAGAAAACTAGTAGTATATTTTAACAAATCAGATGATTTTAATAATTGTGTGCCTAAAATTTAAAAGTTTCTTAATACTTATCAAATTGAAAAATATCAGTATATGTAATTTAGTTTTATGTGGAGAAATATAGATATAACAAAATGAATACGGAACTAAATAAGCTTGCGACAAGAAAAAAGCTAAAACACATGAGATAGATGTTAGGAACTTAGAAGATGACCCACCTCTCATATCATACATTTAGTTATTGAAACATGTCCAGCCTGTTTTGTACATTAAGCTAAGATATGTTACATCAAAGAGACCAATCAATTTATTTGTATTAAAGTAAATTGTTTCACGAAACTGAAACATATTTATTTCAAATCCAAATCCTCAATTGTATTTTATTGCCGGTATATATCGTCCTACTTGTCTATCCAATCAAAACAAACACGTAACTATAACAAAATTTTGATTGAAAACTTTAAATTTTAAATATTTTTTACGTTAGAAATAACATATTCTTTAATTATATGGGTGATTACGCGGATTTGACATTTCTGAACATTTTAAAATGTACATATTTACGATTTTTGTTTGGCTAAAATACATATTTTATAACAAATACTAAACTTTAAGTACAAATGAAATCGATTAAACATAAATATAACGAGTGAAACACATGTTAAATCGTATTTTTATATCCTGAAAGATGGCAAATCTATAGCAAAATCTGTAATTAATTTCTAATTAGTTATATGATTCATCATATATTTCTATGGCTATTCTGATCTATTCCCAAATTTTGAATACATAGTAAATATTATCCGAGAAATTAAATATTCCTTGAAATATATATGTTGGTATAAGTCGGTATCTAAGCATTTTGGTAGTATCCAAATTCTACTTACTTGAAATATCGACTGGATTAGATATATAGTTATTACAAAACTTTACTATCTATTTTTTTTTTTTTTTCATACTATCTATTCTAACACAAAGTGTGCAGATACCATCTAAGGACCTGTAGGTCCGGTACCACCCTATTTAACATCTAATTTCAGGAGTATATATAGTAAACCTGTCTGTAAAATGATACTTAAAATGTTAGATACAATCTTCCATTGCCACAATAATTTGTTCATTACAGTGCAAGTACGTATGGGACTATTGAGGGTGTAATTTCTTACATAAAGGAATAATTATAATTTACAGGACACTTGGGTTTCTTCTGTCATTTTACATTTATGAATATGAACAATCCATTTGATTCCGTCCTAGGTGGGAGTAGACTGCAATCTACAATAATTAATTAATAGTACAAAACCAATTGATTACTGAATTAGTTAAGTAGTAATAAACTAAAGGAAGTAATTATTCAAGGTTGAGCCCTAGCTATAGTACCCGATTTTTTAAAAATAAAATCCAATTAAGCAATTAATTAAGACCCCATTATATTAGACGAAAGCAAGTACCATCATCATATATAATCATGCATATTTATCAAAGTTCTTATATCAATTATAAAAATCAATAATAAAATAAGAGAGGGAATCCCAAAGCTATCATCATCCACATTAAACTCTAGGATACTTTTGATTCATTATGTCTCTTTTTATATTCTTAATTGTTGTGAAACTTTTTATTTATTTTAAACCTACGATTATAATGCTATTTAAAAAAAAATTAATACAACACGTCAAAAGATTATTTAATGTATTCGTAACATTAAACTATAGCATTTCTTTGAATAATACACATTTGATAGTTGATAAAGATCTAATGAGAACCTGAAAAAACACGTATTTGTATACATGTATGTATGTGTGTTTGTGTGTGTGTCAGTCACTCAGTGCGTGTGTATAAACTAATATTTGTGTATAATATTGTGTATCAAACTACATTCATTACCATATATAAATAATATATATAATATATCATCATATTTTCACTTATGAACTACAAAAAACATAATTTCATTTGTTATTATTAGAGTTTTACTTTACTATATTTTAAAGCCTTAATATTTACATGAAATTCAAAAATAGACATAATATAAAAACAGAGAGGTTGGTTATAATGTTTAAGTTTTCATTTAATCCTACTTTTAGGAATCAATTTTTTTTAAAACCCTATTTGGTGGCATAACTCAACTTTTGGCCAGTGGTGTGTTACATACATAGTTCTTCACTTCTTTGTATAAAGATTTGCTATCTGATTAAATCCAATAGGACAGATCTTGGTTTAGAGGTGGTAGCTCTTGTTGGTGTGTATCTTCGAGGTGGTGGCTTTTGTTAGTGTGATTTTTTTTTTAATATGGCTTGTCTTTGCCGGTGAAAAATGATTTTTGAGCTCAAAAATGCTATAGATTCGCATCGTCAGAGGAAATGAGGACTTATCTCGGATGCGGAGGACTCGCGACAAATCCGATTAATTTGGAAAATCTCCTCCTCCAACTCCAACAAATACTCCTTCCTTTGTTCTACCTAGTTTTTGCAGTGTTCTTTTGTAATATTTAGTTATCTGTTTTTGAATTTCTATTGTCGGTAAAAAATTGAAAATTGGTATTACTCTTAACATGTTTACTTTACAAAAAAAAAAAAAAAAAATTGGTTTAAAAATTAGGAATAACAATGATACTGTTTTTAGTTTCCGGCAAAAGTAGCAGGGGAAGAATGATTACGTGAATGATGTAGGACCCAAAACGTTTTGAAATAAATTTCTAAATTTTTGACCAAATTGAGTTTTTATAATTTAGAGGAGTGTTGGCCCCATCACTCTCTCGTCGACCTCTCCATTGTCTTTATGGAATGAATGATAAAAGAGGACACCTCACGTGGACTCTGCTGCCACAACGACTCTCTCCAACCATATCCCCTTTCACATATATACATTTTTTTCTTACATTTACTATATATTAAAGACTGCATTGTACATTTTTTTCATCTCATTTATTAACGCAACGTTCAGATTTTTCCATTTTTAACTAGTCGTGAAAAAGTATTTTCCTTGTACGGTGAATATTGTAGCCCTTTTTTACGGTGGTCTTTTCGATTTGGATGATGAGTATATTATACATAGAGAAAAGAAAAATAATGGAAAAAAAAAATCTTATTAATGTTTACAACGATGATCCACTATTACAAATATCGAAATCTTTGGATACAGTGACAGATTTGTTTCGTTGCAAGTTTGTAACCCTATTAGTAATTAGTAATGCTGTTTATAAAAGTTTTTAGTAATAATTTCAATCTCGAAAAAATCTAAGACGGATATATCAAAAAGTTTAACACTTAACGGATTGATTTTGATTGGAATTAACGTTGAATTTTTCACATTTGCTAATTGCATCAATCCATTTTTGCGTTGATTAAATGGCACTTTCTTTTCTTCAACTATTAAATGATACTCCCATTGTTGACATTTCTCTAAGTATGATTTTTACTAATTAATTATAGGGTGAGAGATGAAGCATATATAAAGAAGCAATGAACAGTTTTTTTTGTTTGAAAAAAAAAAAGATATATGCAATGAGATTTTTCTTTTAATTTTAAAATGTTTTGTAAAGCTCACCCATATAATTCTCACTCATGATCTTTGTTTCTTTAAGCTTTTCTTCACCATTGTCTCTCTCTTTCTTATCCTCTCCTTCTCACTGATCAATTCCTTCAAACTTCTCTTTTCTTTAAATTTTTCCCCTCTTGTCAAAAATAAAAATTTCACATATAAATAAAAACCAAAACCCTAATTTATAAAAATATATATAAAATAGTTATAGCTCCCCACTTATATATGCAAAAGCCAACATCAAGTATCTTAAATGTCATAATGGACGGTGGAGACAGCGTCGGAGGAGGAGGAGGAGGAGACGATCACCACCGTCACCTCCACCATCACCACCGCCCTACTTTCCCTTTCCAACTCCTCGGAAAACACGACCCCGACGACAACCATCAACAACAACAACAACCTTCCCCTTCCTCCTCCTCCTCTCTCTTTTCTCTCCATCAACACCAACAATTATCTCAATCACAACCCCAACCGCAATCGCAGCAAAAGCCACAACCGCAGACAACTCAAAAAGAGTTATTACAAACGCAAGAGGAATCAGCAGCGGTGGTGGCAGCTAAAAAGCCGCCGTTGAAACGAGCGTCGACTAAAGACCGACACACAAAAGTAGACGGAAGAGGAAGGAGGATAAGGATGCCGGCGTTATGTGCAGCTAGGGTTTTTCAGCTAACGAGAGAGCTCGGTCATAAATCCGACGGTGAGACAATAGAGTGGCTTCTTCAACAAGCTGAACCATCAGTAATCGCCGCCACCGGAACCGGAACAATCCCGGCGAATTTCACTTCTTTAAACATTTCTCTCCGTTCTTCAGGCTCTTCCATGTCTCTTCCTTCTCATTTCCGCTCCGCCGCTTCAACTTTTAGCCCTAATAACATGTTTTCTCCGGCGATGCTTCAACAACAACAACAACGAGGTGGTGGTGGTGGGTTTCATCATCCTCATCTACAAGGACGTGCAACGACGTCGTCTTTGTTTCCTGGTATTGATAACTTCACACCAACGACGTCGTTTTTGAACTTCCATAATCCGACAAAACAAGAAGGAGATCAAGATTCAGAAGAGTTAAACTCAGAGAAGAAAAGAAGACTCCAAACGACGTCGGATTTGCATCAACAACAACAACAACACCAACACGATCAAATTGGAGGATATACTCTTCAATCTAGCAACAGTGGATCTACCGCCACCGCCACTCAGCAAATACCGGGAAATTTCTGGATGGTTGCGGCGGCTGCGGCAGGGGCGGGTGGTGGTGGTAATAACAACCAAACAGGTGGTCTAATGACAGCTTCTATTGGTACCGGTGGAGGTGGTAACGGCGGTGGAGAGCCTGTTTGGACGTTTCCTTCCATCAACACCGCGGCGGCAGCGTTATATAGAAGTGGCGTTTCGGGCGTTTCAGGCGGCGCAGTTTCGAGCGGTTTACATTTTATGAATTTCGCAGCGCCAATGGCATTTCTTACGGGACAACAACAGCTAGCAACAACTAGTAATCATGAGATTAATGAAGATAATAATAATAATGAAGGAGGAGGAGGAGGAAGAAGTGACGGTGGTGGTGATCATCATAATACACAGAGACATCATCATCATCAACAACAACAACATCATAATATTCTCTCCGGTTTGAATCAGTACGGACGACAAGTTTCCGGCGAATCTCAAGCTAGTGGATCACTTGGAGGTGGTGATGAGGAGGATCCACAAGATTAGACACACAAAAAAAACAATTTAACGGTGGGATTTTCTGCCGGCGGCGGTGGCGGTGACGGCGTTCGGCGGCTGTGTAATACTTTTGTTTTCGCCGTTAATTCTTTTTATTTTCTGTAGTAATTTTTTTTTTTTGCTAAGTAAAAAACAAAACACGTGAGATTTTTTTTTTAATTTTGATTTTTTTTTTGTTTACTTTGATTTAAATTTGATTTTTCTTGTGAGTGAGTGATTAAATAGTACACGAGATTTTTTATGTCAGGTTTTTTGGATTTTGAGGAGAATATGACACTTTTTTTATCATTATTATTTTTTTCTTCTGATAGTGTCACTGTCTCGATTTTCAATCATCTTCGTTTTCTTTATCCATTAAGAAAATTAATTACACATAAAGAAAATTTTTAAGTATTCGCCAAACAATGTTGGTTTCCTATCTCCAGACTCCAATGAAACAATATAGTAATAGTAACATATCATCAAAGTATAACATTTAAAAGTTTACTGTTTTTAATTGTTAAATACAAAATGTCAAAAAAATTGAGAAACTATTTTATGTAGGAATGAGATGGGCCTCTGTCTTGGCCCACCAATCATCTATCTCACTTGGCCCTTGAAGTAGTTGTTTCGAAGCTAATAGAAAACAGCAAAGTGTCTCGTTTGTTTTACATGGTCGAACGAAAACGATACAAAAAACATAAAAATATCTCGTTTGATCTTATATGCTATGAAATATATTAAATGCTTTTTTAGAATGTGAATCATTTTATCTCTGTTTCTTTGTCGTTTGTCCCCACTAAAACAATCAATCTGATTTTGTATATGATTTAGACTATCAGAATTAGAAAGTGATCTAGTTTGAAAGACGCGTTCTAAATTATGGTTCACAATTTTCTTTCTTTGTTAACCAACGTTCTAACAAAGTACACCAAAAAAGATTGATTGATTTAGTATATATTCTTTTGTGTTTGTATATCTTTAGAAACTAATATAACATATCACCTTTTTATCAGTTTTTTTTGAGAATATATATAACTAAAACATTATTTACTCTATAAATCTATGTTTTACGTGGTAAGAAATAGTCTATTCACTCAACATTCGAAGTTTAAAGCATTGATTTGGTCGGTTTGGAACATTTTAGTGCACCATATCGATTGGTATTCAAGAATCAAGTTAGGTTATGTAACGCAATTGTTGTTTGAGTGGCCGGTCTTTCGTTCATGTTACACAAGTTTTTACTTCTTCGTACTAATTTTAGTAAAAAAATTTGTTTATTTTCATATATTGATGTTTTAGAAGAAAATTTTTGTTCTAAATTATATGATGTTTCCAATACAAATTTAATTAAATTTTAATGTTTTTAACTTTTTATATTCTGCAGATGATTGCTAGAGTTCAAAATTTAGAGATTTGATTTATTAATATTTTTCATTCGGATTTGATTTGAGCTAATTATCTAAGGTTGAGATTGACAATAATTTTCTAATATTATATACGGTTTAAAAATCTATTTTGCATGGGTCTAATAAGTTTAACAAAAAGGATGGAGACAGAAAACAAATAAAAATAAATGTGAATGCAGACTATATAATATATCATTGAATGTATAATAAATAATACAAATTCAATAAGTAGAGAGAGATAGAGATTGATAGTGGTGGTGACATGAGGACTGTAGCATTGTAAGGGTCGTGGGACCTAAAACGTTATCAGGTGCAGTGATTGTCGTGTGGACCTGATTGATTCTCTCATCTCCGTAACCAACGTTCACTTTTTCCCCTCACTCATGTCACCAAAATTCTCTCTTTTCTTTTTCACCACACTCGCTTCGCTGTAATAGAAACATGGCAACACCAATTACTATAATCAAACGATAAATAAAACTACGTTATTTTCATATATACATGATTCGACTTAAGGTGGTTTAATTACAGAATTAATATTTCAACACTAATTGTTTGAAATTCGTAATAAATCAACGGATGACATTTTTATCGTTATATATTTATAGATTACATGTTGTCATTATGTAATATAGCTAACTCCGATCTAATGTTTTAAATTCGTAATAAATTTAATAAATGACACTATTTTTGTACATAGTTATAAATTCTCACGTTGTCATTATACTCCCTCTGTTTCACAAAGAGTGTCATTCTATAGTTTGATTTTTGTTTCACAAAGAGTGTCATTCTACAGTTTCAATGTGACTTTTACATAGAATTTCCTAATTTACCCTTAACTTAAAGCTACTTTTCATTGAATTTAAATCATTAATCACTTATTAAATAGGGGCATATATGTATAATTCAATGTTTTCTTAATTTGTGTGAAATGTGTCAAAATGACACTCTTTGTGAAACGGAGGGAGTATGATATAGCTAACTCCAATCTAAAGTTTTAAATTCGTAATAAAGTATTGTATGATTTTAGCACCAAAAAATACATAAATATGCCATTAAAAACAAAAACAAAAAATCGGGCTACGTACGCAACGAGAGTCAACTGATTTTGTAGGACAGACAGAGATGCAAACAATTTTAATAGTATAGTTGGGGTAAGGTTTAGATCACATGGGTTTAAATTGTGAAGCCATCATCGTACGGAAACGTAAAAATTGGTCCACATACGAAAATTACATTAAAGTATATATAAGCAAATGTACAATTAAAAGTGTCAACCTTCAACTAGTCACGGGGTCAAATAAAACCATGTGTGAATTGTTTGTTTGTCTTTTTGATACATATTTTAAACGAATATATAAATTTTTTTAGTATCCATCCTTTCATACAAATATTTACCCAAACATAATGATTATTGTTAGTTTGTTACTAAAAAAAACATTTTTTTTCTCATGCAACAATATCACAAAAGATTGTTGGTGAGAAAGAGAATAGGCTTATTGACCTAAGCCCAAATGTACTAACTTGTATTGTACCTATAGGCTATAGGTGGACCTTATTGCTATTGTTCTATTATCATCTATGACATCGGAAGACAAAACCCCTTGGGATTAACAAAAAAGAATGATCAACTATAGGAGACAAGATCTAAACTTTCCTCCACTTGTTTCTCTAAACCTTCGTGGGGAGTTTTTGCAAAGTCATGCACGAGAGTTCCAAGCTTTACGCATTTTTTGGGAAAGATACATTGTTGCATTGATAGCTCCAGCAGCCAAGAAACCAGACACAGCTTGTCTTGCGCTTGAAACCATTACCCTTCGTTTCATTACATTCCCCATACATTTCGCTGCTTCTTCTCTCGAACCAATACAAACTTCTCTCATAACTCTACCTACACATATATACCAGTTTTGCCATCAAGAATCAGTAATTATGCATCCATGTCATCTTTAGGATCGAAATATAGCTTATATAACTCGAGAGAGAGATCAGAGTTGATACCTGTCTCACTCACGAATTTCTTCTCCCCGAGTGACTTTCCCATTTGGCTTCTCACTGATGCGGGAAGAGAAGAGACCAGAGAACGTGTTGCTGACAGACTAGAATCCTGCTCACAAGTTGAGAAGGATTGATATAAGAACAATCTCAAGATTAAGTTATATCCATGGTGATGGAGCCAATAAACTGTGTATACCTGAACTAACTTAGTGTGACTAGCTTCAGCCGATGAGAATCTCAATAAGTTTTTGGTCTCGCACTCTTCAAGAAAAGGCTTATACATTGACTGGAAAAGATCAAATTGTCCCTTCACAATCTTGTTCACCTAAAGGGCAAGGGATCAGAAATCTTTTCACCCGAAAAATTAAAAATAGTTTATATGTTCTAAGAACAATTTTTGCTATGTGATGTACTCAAGAACATGAGTGGGTTCTCTCTCTCACCTTATTAGTGTCCTCTGCAAAAAACATGCGCAGGTCTCCCATGTAAGAAAGGCTGCATATTTTGGCGTATAGATCTTCCTGCGCAAGAGTGAGTTATATATAGTGTGCAGTCTGGTGAAACTTCAAGGTTTCACAGCAGTGAACAGAAAACCAACCTCGGTGAATTTTGATGGTAAGAGAAGAAGAGCTGCAGATATTGCAGCTCTCTTATTAACAGAATTCACATCCTCTATGTCCAGATTATCAACAAGCATATGAACCTGCAACCAAAGGCACTTTCCTAAAACATCTCATGTACCACGGTTATTAGTAAGAACACCAAGCAACTGACATACCGGTTTCTGTAAACGGCCACTCAAATAGAATCTATTCCAGTCTAGTATGTCCTGTACTAGGTCATGCATCCGAACAACCCCATACTTAAGCTTCTGCAAAGAGTCACAAAGAAAATAAATCATGCAAGAAAAATGGCTTAAGATTACATACAACGCGATCATTATCAAACTTAGATTCTTCAGTAGGTTTAAAAAAACTCTACAGTTCCTGGGAAGTTCTTACCCTGTCGTTCCAATTGACAAACGGATTGAAGTGAACTCCAACTCCTACTTTATCGGCAACATTCGTAATCTAATATCCGATAAAAAGAACAGTATGTTCAGTATTTGATTAAGCCGTATAAGCACTGCAAGAGTATGGAATATATACCAGCCTGGCTCCACCAAGGTGAACCATCCACGAAGCATAGTGATCTGAATTCATTTTCAGATTCTTGGTCACACAATAAAAATATGAATTAGGATCCATGGGTTTAAATAAATAGCTACTGCTATAAAAATTATAATCAAAAGATATTGCTTACCTGAGAGTGCCATTGCATAGGATCAGAGACTCCAAAGATATAATCCACCATTTTAGACTACACAAAGCAAAGGTCACATTTTTACACTCAATTTAGCAAAAACTGATTCAGAAACATGAATACGCTCATCAAGGAGAAGACAAAGACCTTATCTTGGTTAGATTCAAAAAAGACCTTATCTTGGTTATTTGGATGCAATGTGGAACCATAAACACAACAGAAATCCACAGGAGGAAGAACACTTAAGAAGCTCGAAAGCTCCTCTCTTTGAGTAGTTTCCATTCCGAAAAAGTACCCTTTTACTAATTGTAATGCGTATTTCCCTTACAAGTTCCAGAATTCAACAGGGCAAACCTATTCAAAGGAAGCGATCGATTAGATTTCGAGTAATCGAAGTTAAGTTTCTACAATTAGGTTTATGAATCATTGTGCTTTGAGATTGACAAAACCTTGGAAAAAGAGAGAAACGAAGCTAGAGGAGGAATTCTAAAAGCGTTATTGATATAAGAGGACAATTGAAGAAGCTTACCTGCGACTGCGAGTGAAGGCGGCGCGGAGAGAGGAAGAAGAACAAACGCCGTGAAGCTTTTTTGGGTTGGGCCAAAAGATTAGTTTCTAATAGGCCTGGGCAAAAAAAACCGCTAACCAAATAACCGACCGAACCGAACCGAAAAAAAACCGAACCATATCCGAACCGAAGTTTTCAAAATAACCGAATGGTTAGTAAAATCCCTTATCCAAAATAACCTAAACCGAACCGAACCGAACCGATAACCAAACGGTTAACCGAAATATCCAAAAAATTTATAAGATACCCAATAATATTACACAAAATTAGAATTATATACTCAAAATATTAATTATTTTTAGAATCAAAACAATCAAATACTTTAAATAATCAAAATATCCAAATTTGTTTTTATATATTTGTCAAATTTAAATATTCTTAGACAAAAATGAATCCAATTTGAATATTCTTTCTAATATTTTTCTTTTTTTGTATTTTCTTTTTGTATTTTTTCGGTTAATTTCGGTTAGTTTCGGTTATATTCGGTCAATTTTGGTTATTTTGGGTAAAAACCCGAACCAAACCGAACGTGATAAAATTTTGGTTAGTTATGGTTATCTATTTAAATATCCAAACAGAACCGAACCGAAAGGTAACCGAACCGAACCGAACCGAAATTCCTAAAATATCCGAATGGTTATTATATTACCATATCCGAACTAACCGAAACCGAACGCAACCGAACCGAAACCGAACGGTTAACCGAATGCCCAGGCCTAGTTTCTAACCAATGTTTTTCCGGACCCGGACCGGTAAACCCATGATCCGTTTAATTATTTGGTCCCGGTCTAGCTTCAAAATCCTGGTGCTAACGAACCGGGAAAAATCCTACTAAACCATTAAACCTGAGAAAAACCGATTAACCGGTGGTAAGGATTTTATTCCTGAACCGTCTTATTTTCTTTCCCATCATTTTATTTAAATCCAAAAAAAAAAAAGGGTTTGGACTTTGGAGTTTCCGGAGAAATTTCGTTTTCCTCCGGCTGTGACTCCGAAAACTTGTTCGTTGTTCGCTGGCTTTAGCTTCTCTATTTTGGACGTTTGTAATTTTCTTTGGTTCCAACAAGGTTTATTAAATATAATTCAGATGACAAAAAAAAAATGGGTTTGGAGTTTCGGGATGAAGAGGAAGAGACGGCTAAGTAGAATTAGGTTATTTTTTTTTTAAAATCCACATTACCCACTGAATTAATGTACTTTTTTGGGCCAAAAGTTAAAAAATTTTATAAGCCAGTGAAAATGTAAACACTAATCATACTATTTGTCAAATAGTATTTGATAACCTTCAACAAATAAATTGGACCATAAATACAAGAGTGTGTGGGAAACACACGCCAGCAGCGGCGGACGAAAGACGTCATCAGCTCTCGACGGCCTGTTTCCATGCCTTTATTATCCCATCACGTTGACCCCACACGTGAAAAGTCAAATCCGGCCATATATCTTTACTACTCCCTCTGTTCCCTTAAGTTTGATGTTTTGGGTTTTGCACATAAATTAAGAAAAACTATTTTTTATATTATTTAATTATTTGTTTGTTTGTTTAATAATTTTAGTTCCACTTCTCTCCTCTTCCTATTGGTTACAGTTAAAAGTAATAAAGATATTATTACAAAACATCAAACTTTGTGGAACAAGAAAAAATCTCAAAACATCAAACTGTTAGGAACAGAGGGAGTATTTAATACTACTCCATTGTTGCCGTGGACAACAATTTTCCATTGTTGCCGTGGACAACAATTTTCCATTGTTGTTACACTTAGAAAATGTACCGAGTTACCTTTCAACTAGTCGATAAAATTGTAAACAAAAGTGTATTAATAGAACTTTACCCGATTAAAAACCACTCCCTCCACTCGATTATTATTTTTAAGATACGATGACGTGTCCATGAAACATAAGCTTAGTGGCACGCAACGTAATAGAAAACGACAAAAGTAGTAAAGAGAAAGGCACATGTCGAACTCACGTGTCCACTTAAACGCACCACTTCTTCTGTGCTCTCCACGCGCCTCCTTCTTTCCCCACACGCCCCTCCCTTCTTCTTTAATTTTCCTTTTCCTCCAACAAATTTCACTCTTCATTTTCTCAGATTCTCTTATTGTTTCTTCTACTCATTCCAAATCCTGATCGTTTAAAACTTCCGGAGAGATTCTAACCGGAGAAAGGTACCTTTTTTCTGAGTCTTTTGTGTTTTGTTTAATTTTTGAGAATTCTTCACTGTTTGATTTGACAAGAATATGGGTAATAAAGACAGAATCTAAAACCACTTCTTGAGTTTTTGAGGAATCAAAATCACTCAAAGTTTTGTTTTTTTTCTCTGTTCCCATGTCTCTTGATGGGGTTTGTGTTTATTTGACAATAAGGTGTTTGATTTTAAAGATGAATGATTTATCAGATTCAGGTAACTTGACAGAGAATCTTGTTCTTTAACAAAATCAAAGATGGTATCGAAAACTCCTTCTACATCGTCTGATGAAGCAAATGCTACTGCAGATGAAAGGTGATTCTTCAAGAGACAATTCTCTGTAACTGATTGTCTTTGTTTATGGTGATTGATTATGTTTAGTGTATTAATAAAACAGATGTAGAAAAGGTAAAGTACCTAAAAGGATTAACAAGGCTGTTCGTGAGAGGCTTAAGCGTGAGCATTTGAATGAGCTTTTCATTGAATTAGCCGATACGCTTGGTAAGTTTTGAATGAGCAATTTTGCTTGAGTGGGTCAAATTTTGAATGTGATTGTGATATCTAACTGTGAACATTGTCTTTGTTGCAGAACTGAATCAACAGAATAGTGGGAAAGCTTCTATACTATGCGAAGCTACTCGGTTTTTGAAAGACGTGTTTGGTCAAATCGAGTCTCTTAGAAAGGAGCACGCTTCCCTCCTCTCTGAATCTAGCTATGTAAGTCACTTACTATATGTACATTGATTGTGTTTATGTATCTTGTGACATGGATCAAGAAGTTACTTAATCTTTGTTTATATGTTTGTGTAAATGGTCTTGTTGATGGAAACTAGTGTTATGTGTAGGTAACCACAGAGAAGAATGAGCTCAAGGAAGAAACATCAGTGCTTGAGACTGAGATCTCGAAACTACAAAACGAGATCAAAGCAAGAGCGAGTCAGTCGAAACCCGACTTGAACACCTCTCCTGCACCCGAGTACCATCATCATCATCATCATCAACAACATCCTGAACTTGCATCTCAGTTCCCAGGACTTCCCATTTTCCAAGGCCCTGGCTTTCAACAATCTGCTGCTACTTTTCCTCCTCCTGCAACAGTTCTTGTCCTTCCGATACAACCCGATCTCCAGACACAAGATATCTCAGAAATGACACAAGCGCCGCCTTTGATGTATAATACCTCAAATGTGAGTAAGCCATGTCCAAGGTATGCTAGCGCGGCTGACTCGTGGTCTTCTCGGCTACTTGGAGAGCGGCTGAAAGCCAGTGAATAAGGTCTTGAGCGACTTCACATGGAGTAGCAACACAAGTTAAGACATGGCAACTTATGAAGGACCCTGGTTTTGTATTTTTTACATCATCTGATGTCCTTGTGGGTTTGGCCTTGGCCATTTCTTGTTTTTGATGTGGTTGTTCATAGGATCAGGAAGTTATGGCATTTTACTTTATGGGTCGTCTGAGATAAATAAGTAAATTAGCTCTAACCATTGTCATTTTCTTTTATCTTAAGATTCTAAACAACACAGAAACAGAACCAAAAATATCAAATTTCTTTAAAGAAAAAAGCTTTCTAAATGGAAACAAAAATGTGAAATTGGGTTTAAAGAAAACCGGTTCATTGGTTTTGGTTTGGATTGGTTTTGGTTTTGGTTTGGATTGGTTTAAAGCGGTTATAGAAAATGATGGTATTTTGGTAAAATAGGCACTTGACAAAAAGAGAAGTGAGAGAGAGAGAGTCATCTTATCTTGCTATCGAGTGGGTAAGAAGAATCAGAAAACAGAAAAATGGCGAATTCACTATGCTTCTTCTCTTCTCCTCCTACTTTTTGCTTCCAATCTCCCAGCAAAAACCCTAAACCTACTCACTTCTTCTCAACTAATGATAACACCTCTTCCTTGGTCCAGAAGAGAGAACTGCTTCAGACTTCCAAATCCCAAAGTTTTGAAGTTAAGGTTAGGATTTTCCTCTCTATCAAATTTGCTTACTTTATTTACCATTTCGTTAATGCAAAAATCTCATTTTTTTGGTATCAATAGGCCGCAAACAATAATCCTCAGAGCACTAAACCAAACAGTTTAGTTTGTGCAAATTGTGAAGGGAACGGTAAGTTCTTTATGAAAGCATACACACTTTACCCAAAAGACTTTGTTTACAGTTCTCTTAGTTTGGTAATCTGACAAAGATTTTGTGTAAATGTTATCAAAGGTTGTGTGGCATGTTCTCAATGCAAAGGAGGTGGTGTGAATTTGATTGAGCATTTCAATGGTCAGTTTAAAGCTGGTGCACTCTGTTGGCTTTGCAGGTTTGCAACATCTTATCTCCTTTCTTCTATACAACACTCCAAAAAAAAGCATTACTTAATATCATTTTCTTGAATTTCTTGAGGGCAGAGGTAAAAAGGAGGTGTTGTGTGGGGAGTGCAATGGAGCTGGTTTCATTGGTGGGTTCTTGAGCACCTTTGATGAGTAGTTCAAAATAGCTTCTTCTGGATACTCAGAAACACTCTTTTTATAAACTTTAGAAGAAGTAAATCTTTCTCTCTATCAATGCTCTTCTATACCAAAAACATGTATTACTATTTGTTATTGCACACCAAACTTTTATTGTATTGTTGTTTTTCAGATGCTTCTCTCTCAATATTGTCAAGTTTATATGACCTCTATGGAAGTCTTGTTGATGGCTTGAAATGTTGAAATGGTTTGGAGAAGAATTAATTAAAGTTTTGTTCTTTTCATTTTTATTGAAACAGAGTGTTTTATATCATCCTAGTAATCTATCTAACCCAATGATAAAAATGTATGAGTTTTGAACTCTCTTCTATATTACTCTTAAATTTTATTAAAAATTTGATATTGTCCTATTGATATTTCATGAGTAAATAAAAATAGGCACATAATAAGATAGATAAAACTGAAAAAACATTGCACCTGAAAAAACGAGGAGGAATGGAAACAACTGTAAATAACAGACAAACGCATCTGAGACCAACAAAAGGAGAAGACACAGACTTTTTTTCTCTTATTATCTGTTGTTGTTGTCGTCGTCGCTGGGTCAGAATCTGGTTGTTGTGTTTTTCTTTTCTCTCGCTCTCCATTTCGAATCCAACACAAATCTGTCTGATTCTTGGGAAAAGTCAAGTCAGAAACCTAGACGAGGAAGACAAGGATATTAGTTCGTCTCTTACGGATATATACCCATAAATTGCTTGAAGCTCAACATCTGTTTGTTCCACAAATGTTTTTTCCGTAATTGTTGCGTGCGGACCAAGGAACTAGGTACGTTTCTGTCTGATTTTTGATCATCAATCCCGTTTTGTGTAATCGGCATTGTAGATGATTAGGTTATTTCTATTTTTCAAGGGAAAATGATGAACACAAATGAGATTCCATAGAAGAAATCAGCAGTAGTTATTAGACGTTCTGATGAGGTTTTCGATTCCAAGGCTTAGATAAAGAACCTTTGGAGATAGAAGGCAAAAGGGGTTTTATTATATGGGGCGAGCATTGGAATCATCTGGTGCTCAAAACTTACAATGGCTTGTTTCCAGAGAAGTGTTCCCACAGAGAGGGAGAATGAGCAGGTTTGTTCCAAACTCTCTTAGAATCTTTAGTAAAGATCATCTTCAATTCCTAGAGTTTGATTCTTCTTTTTGCATAAAACTTGGTTCAGGCGATAGCGATTCTGAAGAAAGGGGCATATCTGTTGAAATACGGCCGTCGTGGGAAGCCTAAATTCTACCCTTTTCGGCTTTCAAGTGTACCATTCATAACCTTCAATCACAGTTTATTTCAAAGCTGAAGATTGTGATTTGATAGTGGTTTTCTCAAATGTTTATGCAGGATGAAATATATTTGTTATGGTATTGTGGTAAAAAGGAGAAACGTCTTAAACTGAGTTCTGTGACAAGGATCATACCTGGACAGCGAACTGTAAGTTAAAATGTATGAATCATTTATCTGGTAACTGTTTTGCTGCAGATTTCTGAACAGATGAATGTTATTGTAAGAACTTTTGCAGGCAGTTTTCCGACGATACCCTCAACCCACCAAGGAATATCAATCCTTTTCTCTTATATATGGCGAACGGTCTCTCGATTTGGTTTGTATTTTGCTCCCTGTGGTCTCCATTGTTACATCCATTTAAGAGGTTATACACTGATTGATAAGCATTTACTTAAACCTCATTGATAGGTATGCAAGGACAAGGATGAAGCTGAGTTCTGGCTCACTACACTTCGCGCTCTTCTCTCACGAAACAACTCTTCTTCTGCATTGGTACTTCACTCAAGAAGCCGTAGTTTTGCTCCTGAAAATGGAGAACAAAGTAGTACGAGCAAGAACTCTAAGTCCAACATCAGATCTGTCAGCAGTGACACAAGCTACGAGGTTTTGCTGGTTTTTTTCTTTCTTCAGGAGAGGAGCATAGGGTTGTTTAATTTCCTACTTAATATCATATCTTATCTGGCACTTTTGCAGGAACATGCAAAAAAGGCCTCAGGATCTCACTGCAACACTCCACAGAGACTGGGGAAAGTTTTCTCAGAGGTTTTGTCACAAACTGCAGTACTAAAGGCACTCTCTTTGGATGAACTGGTTCATAAACCTCATACTTCGCCTCCAGAGGCTATAGAGAATCGATCTACTAATCACTCCCCTGCCGTTGATACAAGTAAATATAGCGTTTCCAGCGCAGTGAGCTCATCTAGTCAAGGCTCATGTTTTGAAGACTTGAAGTCTCTCTGTGATGTCTTTGTTTGGGGAGAAAGTATTGGAGATGGGCTACTAGGAGGTGGCATGCATAAAAGTGGCAGCAGCTCGTCTCTGATGACTGATTCTTTTTTACCCAAAGTCTTGAAATCACATGTGGCACTTGATGCACAGAGCATTTCTTGCGGCACCAATTATGCAGTGTTAGTCACAAAGCAGGGACAATTGTACAGCTGGGGAGAAGAATCTGGTGGCAGGTTAGGACATGGAGTTTGTTCCTATGTTCCACACCCAAAGCTTATTGATGAATTTGACGGATCAACGGTAGAGTTAGCTGACTGTGGGGAATTTCATACCTGTGCTGTAACAACCTCAGGGGATCTATATGCTTGGGGTGATGGAGACCACAATGCCGGTCTCCTTGGACTTGGTAGTGGAGCTAGCCATTGGAAACCGGTACGAATTCTCGGTCAGATGGAAGGTATAAATGTAAGAACTATATCTTGCGGACCTTGGCATACAGCTTTTGTGACATCAGAAGGTAAACTGTTTACTTTCGGTGATGGTACTTTTGGTGCGCTTGGACACGGTGATCGTATAAGCACAAACATTCCTAGAGAAGTCGAGGCGCTAAATGGCTGCAGAACAATTAGGACAGCTTGCGGCGTTTGGCATTCAGCTGCTGTTGTCAGTGTTTTTGGTGAGGCCACATCATCAGGAAAGCTCTTTACTTGGGGTGATGGAGATGATGGGAAACTCGGACATGGTGATATAGAGTCTAGACTAATCCCATTGAGTGTAACTGAACTGGATACAACTAGCTTTCAACAGATAGCTTGTGGCCAGAGCATAACTGTTGCTCTCTCTATGTCTGGACAAGTTTATGCTATGGGAACTGCTGATCCGAGTCAGGATAATGTTGTGAGAGCTCCTTCTTGTATTGAAGGGGGTCTAGGAAAGAGTTTTGTCCAAGAAGTGGCTTGCGGGCTTCACCATATCGCGGTTTTGAATTCGAAGGCTGAGGTCTACACTTGGGGCAAAGGATCAAATGGACAGCTCGGGCACGGAGACACTGAATATAGACGCATGCCGACTCTTGTGAAAGCTTTGAAAGGTAAACAAGTGAGAAAAGTAGTGTGTGGATCTAATTACACAGCAACCATTTGTCTTCACAAACCAATTACCGGTACTGATAGTTCTAAGTGCTCTGGTTGTCGCCATCCTTTTAATTACATGAGGAAGCTTCACAACTGTTACAACTGTGGGAGTGTCTTCTGTAATTCATGCACTAGTAAGAAATCATTAGCAGCAGCAATGGCTCCCAAGACGAACAGGCCTTACCGTGTTTGTGATGACTGCTATATCAAACTCGAAGGAATTAGAGAATCTTTAGGAACTCCCGCAAATAGTGCCAGGTTTTCAAACGCAAGTCTACCATCTAGCAGTAACGAGATGGATGAAATTGGTACAACACCGCAGCGTCAGCTTCTTCATAGGGTGGATTCATTTGATTTCTTCAGACAAACTAAGATCCCGGACCTGAAAACCATTGGTGAAACTTCAGGAACAAGCTGCACGTCGTCGACTCACTCAAATATGGATATTAAAGGTAGTTTCAACCTGAAAGGCATACGGCGACTCTCCAGGCTGACCTCTTTTGATTCAGTTAAAGAAGAAGGCAAACAACGTTCCAAGCATTGCGCTTCGAAATCAGACACATCCTCTCTTATAAGACACTCAGTGACGTGTGGTCTCCCATTTTCACGTAGAGGTTCTGTTGAGTTGTTTCCTTTATCGATAAAATCCAGCCCGGTTGAATCCGTTGCGACTACTTCAGACTTCACCACCGACATTACAGATCATGATTTACTGCAAGAAGTGCCAAAGAAATCAAACCAGTGCCTAAGCCATGAAATATCAGTACTCAAAGCACAGGTTAGTCCAACCACTTATCCCATATTGAATCAAATGTAGCTTAAGGTATTGTAGATGAAGACAAGTAAAAACTTTTTAACACTCAGGTGGAAGAGCTTACTCTAAAATCGAAAAAACTAGAAGCCGAACTGGGAATGACTTCAAAGAAACTTGAAGTTGCGGTACTAATGGCTCGCGATGATGCAGAGAAGATCAAATCTTCAGAAGAGATAGTCAGATCCCTAACTCTGCAGGTACATACATACTCATTGTTTTTAAAATATGATTCTTAAGCTCCGGTAATGGAGATTTCAATCTTATTCCTTCTTACAGTTGATGAACGCGACCAAGAAAGAAGTAGACAAGACAAGGAGACGCCGAAACTCGTTTTGATTTAAACCTTTTGAACTATAGAGAACAACCTCTAATTTGATCAAAGTAAGTGAATAGAATGTAAAATACAAGAACAAAAGATTTATCTTTTATCAAATTACATACCAAAAACAAATCAATGTAGTAGTTACTTACAGAGCAAGAACAGAGAAGCTCACAACACACTTCATGAATTCGAAATTGACAAACAGAGAAAGAAAAAAGTTGCAACCTTTATGATTGGTTTAGTGAAATATCAACAAAAGCTTCTTCATTTGGCTAACAATGGCCAAACTAATACTCATCATCTGATTCGCCATATCCATTTCTTTCTTGATCTCATTCCCTACAATTGTTCCCATTTCTTCAATCCCATCGGAACAAGTCTCACCATCAGTCATGGCGGCGCTAATCCAAGTCTTAACATCTCCGACGACTTCTTTAGTCAACCAGTTCACTCCTTTCTTCTTCTCTTTCTCAATCTCTGTAATCGAATCGTTGAGTTGACTCAACGCGTCGGTATAAAGCTTCACACAATCACCAACCGCCGCGTCTTCAGGCATATCGTTGATAGATCGGAAAGAGATAGAGAGGTTTGAGAGATTTTTAACAGCGACTCGAAGAGAAAGCTCGAGGATTGATTCAGGGTTAAGTTTTGAATCTGATTCGTTGAGAGAAGAAGATAGAGAATTGAAACAGGTCTCTGGGTAACGAGTAAGGCCACAGACTGACTTGAGAGAAGCGGAGGAGATGGGAGGATTATGTGGAGGAGGATGAGTGAAAACTCCGGCGGTTAAAGCGACGACGGTGAGGATTAAGAGGAGAGATACGACGGAGACGGTGGCGATTAGGGTTTTACGGGAAAATGATGATGGTTTTGGAAGTGGAGAATGATGATGATGATGAATTTGGTTTTCTTGGTCGGATACTTTGTCGTAGCCTTTCAAGGTGTTGATTGATTCCATTGAAGGGTAATGATAGTGGTGGTTTTTTTGATCGGAGGTAATTGGAAGAATCTGTGATTTTGGGAGAGAAGAAGTCAACAAGAAGAAGCTTTATAGCATTTCTAAAGCCTAAGAGCATGATTATTGGTAGTATCTTAGAAATAAATCTTAGAAATATTTAAGTAATATATTTGTAAAAGTGATAGGTAAGAGATAGTATTTTTGGGTTAAGATTTTTGTGTGATTAATGGTAGGTTCTTAACATGTGGTTCTTAGAAAAAAAATATTAATATAAAAATAAAATTTATACGTATCAAAACATATCACTTTTATCAAACAGAAAATACGTAGAAAAAAAAATATTAATATAAAAATAAAATTTATACGTATCAAAACATATCACCAAAACATATCACCAATTGACCAAAACATATCACCAATTGACCAATAAAATTGATACGTATCAAAACATATCACCAATTGACAAAACATATCAAAAAATAAAATTTATACGTATCAAAACATATCACCAATATAAAAATAAAATTTATACGTATAAAATTTATACGTATCAAAACATATCACCAATACGTATCAAAACATATCACTTTTAACCAATCACAATGTGACACCTTGCAACATCTTAAGTTAAGAAAAACATCTTAACTTAGATACAAATCTTAGCTTTAAGATGTTGGTTTGATTATTTTTAATCAACTTTAATCCTAAGATTTGTCTAAGATACTCAACATTTCAACCAATATTCATGCTCTAAAGTCACAACGTATATCTGATTTCCACGTCTTCTCTTTTTACCATTTTTGCTACCAGGCAGAGAATAAAAATGAAATTAATTTTAATTAATAAATAAAAACACCTTTAAAAAGAAACATTTTGGATGAAAATCTACGAAATCTTTGACAGTTTGATTCTTAGGGTTTTTTCGTCTTTAAGCGTTTCAGGTTTGTTAGAAATGAAACAAGAAGATCTCAACGGTTACTTTCTTGCGTTTACACATGCATGGTATTAGAAAACCATCACCTAGTGGTTCGACGGCAAGCCCCTGCAGCCTTGGGTTTTGGAGAGGTTGGTGGTGGATGATTTACAAAGTGTGTATTACTTCGTGGAAGGAGCTAATGAAGTCGAACATAACCGCGTGATTCACATGGTGATTACCTCTTAGGAGATCATGCTTTCGAAGTTCGCACCTACTTCTAAGATGGGAAGAGGAAGCAGAAGCATAAGGAGAGGGAGTGACATTAGAGCCGTGCCAATATTAATAGATACCGAAAGCGACTAAAAATAAAATCCCCTAATTTATTAAAAACATTGATGCAAACTATTTAGAAAAAATGTGTATAAAGAAAACTTGTAGAAAAACTATGGAAAAAAACTTTGTGATTGTGTGACTATAAAGTCATCCTTTAACCATCGTAAGATCTCATGAGAGAGCAATTTTAACAGATTTTTTTTTGTCACCCTAATTAATAATTACAATATTTAATATATGTATATATATATATATAATTATATATATATATATATATATATTAATTGCTTAACAATACTTAGAAGCCCATGTTATGCTTACCCTAACTCATAAATCATAATATTATTTGGGACAAAGTATACGCCCTTAAAAATGCCGGAAGCCAATGTTTCAATTTCATCGACTTCTTAATTATTTTGTTGGTTTCTAGTGTAGTACAAATCAAAATTAATTGTCACGTGACAAGACTATATGTGGGGGTAATTTCAACGACTTCATTTGAATCCGGATTGTAATAGGGATCTTTTGTTGGTTTCAGACTTTATTAAACTGTTTTTGTGCTTCTGTATGATATACCTTTTAAAACTTTTATTTTGTCTAATGAAGAAATAAAAAACACCATAATTTTTCAAAATTTTCAAGTAATACTTTTTTTTTTACAATGTTCTATTAATTATGAATAATAACTAAAAAATGTAACTTCAAATATCAAAGTTTTGAGCAAATGTTTTTCTTTTCTTTGTTCTAACGATTAAAAAATCTTTAAGTAATATTTTTTTTTTTTTTTTTTTAAGTAATATTTTTCGATCACTTGACATCTATTATTATTATTATTTGTTAAATCTATGGTTTAAATCATAGTTTTAGATAACATAATCTAAATCGTATTTATGCTTGTATAGATGAGAGATCAAAATCTGTTGACGTTTCACTTAGTATGTATATAATTTCTCTAGCTTCATATTGCTTAGGAAGCTAAAAATTTCCAAATCTATTACAGTATATGAGCTTTAAAAACTCATCTCTGAAATCATTGTTGTGCAATGCATTGTCGGATGAAATCATCAAACTTTTCTCTCGTAGAGTCCTCCGAGTACGCTATAAGGTAGCCCACAACGCAACATTGAAGCCAACCTGAACCCAATCGTCCCTGAAAACAAAACTAGATACATTACATAACATAAGACTAAAATATGTTTTTTTTTGTGCTAACGAGTAAATAATCTTTCAAGTAGTATTTTTCGATCACTTAACATCTATTATTATTATTATTATTATTATTTGTTAGAACTATGGTTTAAATTATAGTTTTAGATCACATAATTTAAATCGTATTTATGCTTGTGTTTTCATTTGATTTTGAGAGAAACCAAAATTTTGGAAATGAAAATTGCAAAACAACAATTACATAACATAAGACTACCCTAATTGTTATAGTTTTGCTGTTTAATGTAGTTTCTTTATGAAATCTGCATGGATCGGAATGTCTGCATTATGCACCATCCCACCATCCTTTTTTTTGGTGTCAACTTCCTCAATTCCAGGTATTCTTTATATTTCTCAACCAGCTTGAAATAATTAAATTATAGATTTCAGTATCAGACTTTATTAATTTGAGTGAAAGATTACTAACAAGAAGATTCTTGTCCACCATAATCAAATTTCCTCCATTGTTATATGGACTACTATTTTTCTAATATCCACCTATATGTAATCTAAAGAAACATTGTCATGCGTACATAACAAGCGCAACAAAACAGTCACAAAATCAATGTCGAAGTTGCATTAGCTTAATTAAAACCAAAATCAATTTTGAGAACTAGAAAAAGTTCAATGTTAAATTATATCACGAACGTGAACAACAAGAATGACCAAATAAATTTCCAATTCATTGCTGAAAATACAAATTCGATAAAGACACAATTCTATGTAAAAGATGAATTATACATTTCTAAATTCTACAACATTAATCATCCAAAAAAATGTATTTAACCAAATACAAAACCTACTAGAAATACAACTGGAGCCTAGTTAATTCAACTTACCTTATTGTTTCAAAAATTTGAATGAATTTGGCTGTAAATTACAACAAACCAAAGGCTTGTGGTTTTTTGTTTTCTTTGAATCTCACTACTAAACTTTCGCTCTGTCGCATTCTAATCTCGATTTTTCTCTCACTTAAAGTTTGCCAATTTGAAAATTTATGAAACTGAAATTTCACTATTTGACTATTTCTGAAATCATGGCTCAACATTTATGAATTTATCTATCAAAAATTTTCTCATATCTATATTAGTATTTTTTTGTAAAAGTGTTGGTTCACAAATCACAACCACATGAAAACATCGGGACATCAATACACAATTTAAAACAAATAATTAAATAAAAAATTAAAAATTGGCCATCTTTCCAGTTGCCGCTGCCAGCCGTTTCCTTCTGCTTTTTCACTTTTCCGTTCTCTCTCTCTCTCAAACACTTTTTTCTCTGCTTCCGTTTCTCCGTTCAAAACAAGATCGAATCATAAAAAAAATTCTTCCTTTTTTTCTTCTCGAAACAAAGGAGAATTCTTGACGTCTTCTGCTCCATTTTCCTTCAATACCCATTTCTTCTACCGCTCTCGTTTCCAAGAAAAAGAGGGTTTTTTTTTTGGGGTTTAGGAGACAAGCAAAAAAACTTAAATGGCGACGAACATTGGAATGATGGATAGTGCTTACTTCGTCGGAAGAAACGAGATTCTGACTTGGATTAATGATCGTCTTCAGCTCAATCTCTCTCGCGTCGAAGAGGTATTTCTTCTTGTATATCTCTGCATGCGAGCTTTCTTTAATTCTTCTTTGGTAATGTTGATTTCGGAGTTAGGGTTTTGAACTTTGCAGGAATTGTAGATTTGGGTTTGATTTGTTTCAATTTTGCTAACAAGATTTCGATGAGAACTCAGTCTTAGGATTATTGGAGGATGGTAGTGAGATTTGGGGCTTAAGTTAATGTTCGAGTCTTATGAGAGTAAGATGATGTTTGGTTAAGAGGACACAAAGGGCTTTAGGCTTTAGCATTGTGTAATTGTTTAGTTGTTTTGATTGTATAAATGTTGCAATGTCATAGATTTACTGTTGTTGTTGTGAGGGATCTAAAGAGTCCTAAAGTCACTAAAATTTGTGTCAGTCATGAGACTGTCGTCTTTGTTCTAAGTAAAAATTTATGGGTTTTGCTAGGCTGCATCTGGTGCTGTGCAATGTCAGATGCTTGATATGACATTTCCAGGAGTTGTGCCAATGCACAAGGTGATTTTTTAACTTTTATAGTTACCTATCTTATGATTACTTTTGCTTCTTGGCGGCTGAATATCTCAAATTCTCCTCTGCAAGGTTAACTTTGATGCGAAGAACGAGTACGACATGATACAGAACTACAAGGTCTTGCAAGATGTGTTCAACAAGCTGAAAATTACAAAGGTAAATCAATCATCTCTTGATGTGTTGCGTTCCTGTGTATATACTATATACTATGTATATGTATTACTCAACTTGTTTGTCTTACTGAGAAAACACCTCAGCCATTGGAAATTAACAGGCTTGTCAAAGGCCGACCATTGGATAATTTGGAGTTTCTGCAATGGCTGAAACGTTTCTGTGATTCCATTAATGGTGGTATTATGAATGAGTATGTGGTTTCATATGTTAGATTTTTGGATTTGTTAACCCTCCATTGTTTTCCGAACAATTAAGCTTGTAAAATATGTGGTTTCTTATAGGAACTATAATCCAGTGGAGCGAAGATCAAGAAATGGTAAAGAGAGGAGTGTGAAGGGATCTAACAAAATTCCAAAGTCACTGCAAACTAACAATAATCATCCTCCACCCAATTCCGGTTCAGTGGGACTTAGCAAAGTATCAGGTCTGCCATTAAATAAACAGATTTTCTATGCAAACAATAATAATTCTTTTATGCATCTTTCTAAACATGTTGGTATCATCATAATTCTCAGGGCCCAAGCCAACAAAAGCAGCTGAAGTGCAGGCTTTGTTGAAGGAGGTACATTGACATAGATCCTATCGCTTTTAGTATAAGCTTTCTTCTTAGTTTTCACCTATACTCTAAAGGACGAAGCATCCACCATATGTCATATATAACCCTTTTTCATCTTCTACGATACAGCTTGCGGATCTCAAGATCTCTACTGATCTCTTGGAAAAAGAAAGAGACTTTTACTTCTCCAAGCTCCGGGATGTTGAGATACTCTGCCAAACTCCTGAACTAGATGATCTTCCGGTAAGCGCTCCCGTAGAGCCTGTTCTTTTTTCTTCAAACCTTGTCTCAGTCTATCTTGCATGGTATATTATATTGTTCTTAGAATCAAGAGGACAAAAAAGAGCACTTACTAATGAGCTCCTGCACAACCAGATTTCATCAGCGAGCACATTTTAATGCTTCTCATCATTTAATACTTCCCTGAAATGCAGATTGTGGTAGCAGTGAAGAAGATACTGTATGCAACCGATGCAAATGAATCTGCACTAGAAGACGCTCAAGAGTACTTAAACCAGTCCCTAGGAGTTGAAGATGAAGCTGAAGCAAACGGAGAACAACAGGAAGAAGAAAAGACTCAAGCCTAAGCTCTGACTATTAACAATCCTAAGTAGAAGCAATTTCCGAATCAAAATTTTCAGGGTGACAGACAATGGCTAGTCATGGCCTTCTCTTGCAAGTTTCTTTTGTTAAAAAGGAAACTAACTGAAACTTGAAGATGAATGAGCTTCTATTAGAAAGCTTTAGTTTGAGAACAATGAGACTTATTTTTGTTACTATTCAAGAGGTTTTTTCTTGTTTTAAAACAATTACTTTGACCCAAAGTGAGAATCTTAAAAGTGTCAGAGTTTCCTTTTTTTAGCTTCTCTATTAAATCATGAATCATTAAGATAATGAAGTTCACACCGAGACGAAACAAAACTAGGGCTGGTTAGTACAATTTCAATTAAAAATCCAAACTTGAGTGTTATATTTTAATCCACTGAAATGATCCCACCTATCCGTATTCGTGCGAGTCTATGAATGTACCTTCCTAGTCTGACTCTCCGATGACATCAGTGAGATATTGATTTGCTGAAAGAGATCTAACTAAGAGAAGACTCTACTCTTAGCTACCTTCTTGGCTTCGGCTTCACTCAAATATCGAACTCTGTTCTCACGTAACCACTTATCCCCTCTACTCAGACCATCCTTCACTTGCTTCTCTTCCATCTTCAGAAGCATAAGCCCCTCACTTAGTTTAGGAAAGAAACCTTCGGGTCTAACGCACCACGTCCTGAAAACCCCATATAGAACCTCCATGTCTTCTTTTAACCTTTCGACTCCATCATTGGAAAACTTCACGTTTGCCATCAAGATGCTGTTGAAGAACAACTTGTCTATCTCAGAGGCTAGAGTCCTCCACATAGCTGTAAAGTCTGCTTTGTTTAGATTTTCTTCTATTATAGACGTTTTTCCTTGCAAGTAGTCTAGAGCCCCAACTAGTGCCCTTGACACCGTCCATTCTTTGTCTCTCTTCTCCTGCCATTGCTTTCTGTTTTTTATGTATTCTCGACTTCGAGCATCAAAGCCTCTCAAGACCACCACAGACAACTTGTTTATCCACTCTAGCCGGAACTTCTCCAACTTCTCAAATTCTTCTCCGAAAATACCTTCAGAAGGTTCTGTAAAATTCTCCAGTCCTGGAAATTCCTGTGGATCGTGCTGTCCAGTTCCCATTTCAAGGAAAAAGACATCTTCAGACCATTCTTCTAATACAGATTCAATGTAGTGACCAGCATTGATAGAGTTTGAGACCTTGATTAGATCGTTGTTTTCGGTTAATGCAGTTAGTCCTTCGGCGTCTTGGCACCTGAGAAGGAGGCAATCCAAGAACTTATGGATTGTTGGTGAGGCTGCCAATTTCAGGAACCTTGCCCTCAAATATATGGCCGGTACTGATTTGGATCGTTCGATTATTGATGACAAATGCTGCAGAAAGATGCTGGAAATGATTGGTGGTCTGTAAACGTTGGAAGTGGAGATGAGTTCGTCTTGGACCTTTGCTGTCCAATTTCTGTCGTTATCAATTTCTGCCTTGAATTTGACTAGCCTCTCATCTAGCTCTATCTCTGCCCATAAATCGAGCCAATCAGGTCTGTCACAGAAAACTGAGAGAGAGGAAATTCTCAGAAGATTCCCATCTTCTTGAAGCGAAAGTATTCCTGATTGTGATACCAGAGACTGTACTCGCTTATCAAAAGAGATCATGAGGTCGATGAGATGGAGCCACGAAACCTTGGCCTCAGAACGAAGATCAGTTTCATTTGCTTCGGTTAGCTGTCCAACATATATAGGGAATATCTCTTTCACCAAGTACAAAGACAGGGAGCTTACCATAGCCGAAACCCACTCTTCTCGGCAACTGTACCCAGCTAACTTTGCTTCATCAACGAGGGGTTGTAACAACTCATCCATAGAATCCACATAGTCCCTTGTGATTTTATACACAAGGGCAAAAATGAATTCAGGCTTTTCACTCCACTTTGTAAAATGTCGCTGAGATGCAACTGTCAGAGGGTTGACCAGCTCTTCAATAGCCCAGAGTGGTTGGTGGAAAAGAACATTTTCTCCCTTATGGCTTCCAAGCTGCCGCGACTTTCTTTGCAACTGTAACCCCTGCAGGCTACACAAGGCCTGAAAATTTCCACAGTATTGACTTTTGAGGCTCCCTTCCATGTTGAAAAGCGGATTTTGGACATTTTCTGACTTTGAATCAAGACTCGCTGAAGTTAGTGTAGAAAGCTGAGGTGGCCATCCAAGAGAAGAAAGCAACGCTCTGTAATCAGCAATTGCTTGAGGTCTCATCATGGCTAAAGCTCTATCTACTCTATGATCAACTGCAGAAACAAGACGTGCCCATCGAGGATGTCTCCTAGCTACTGAACTCAGTATCTCTTCTGTCGTTTTAAGTGTTTTGATAGCATGTAGACGCACTTCCTGTAATCAGTAAATTCAGAACATTGATCCGTACACACGTTCGAAACTTTTAATACAGAACACTCAAACTGAAGAAAATGTGCTTACTTCAAAACCGCTTGACCGAGATGTTCTCAAGTTTTTATTCAAAGAAGACATCACAGCATCCTCGATTTCACCCACTAAAGTGTCAAGTTTTAGTGCAGTCTCTGAAACATAGAGAAAAATCTTTAAAGTTTGAACACACAACTAATGGGAGAAAATGAACACCACAACGACCAAACTAAGAAGGAACGTTGAAAACTCCTAATTCGGGACTATCTAATCTCGATCAACATCAATAACACCGACTCTTTATCAGAAACTATCCAAGCCATCAAAGTCAAAACGCCTTAACACCAACCAAAGCAAACATACCAGCATAAGCCCGCACAGACTCAACTTGTGCCACTTCCTTTGCTAATGACGGAAGCTCCTCCCCGGCTAATTGCTCCGTCGCCTCCTCCCCCTCCTTTCCGCCATCTGAATGAATTAAACAGTTAACAATTCTCAAATTATAACGGAAATGTATTTCACAAACAGCAGAGACTCAATTTGTCATCATTGACTACAACATTTCACGATTATAATCTGCATTTCGCTGTTTCTTTAGACGAATCGTGAGGAAATCAATACGAACCTGACGCGAAGCAAGGAACGGAGGTAGAAGAAGAGAGATCAGCCAATTTGGCATTAACTTCGACAAATAAACCACCGACGCGATCGGAAAACGAAGCGTAAGAAGCAAGAACTGACTCGAGCTGGCGATTTAATCCGGCTAATCTCTGATCCAATTCGGAAATCTCGGTCTGTAACTCGGAAACCAGACCTGGAGACTGGGAGAGATCCGTGGAGTCTCTGAATTTGTCATCGAGGAAGCTAAAGACGGAAGCAGAGAAGCTCGAGACCTGTGGAAGTGGTTTGATCGCCTCCATTTGCGATTCGTCGTCGTTGGTTCAATTTCATCAAGAACAATGATAATTCGTTAGAAGAGGATACTGAGTCATTTGCATTGACTCGGAGTGTTAACGAGTTGTCAGTTTTTTGATAACACGGATAATGGGCTTTGTTTAAGCCCATTAAGGTCAGGACAGTGGGTTCAAATAAATTGATTCATTTAAATATGGGATCTTGTTGGGCGGGGCCGGCTGCTTCGTCACGGCTCCATCATATCTCACCCGCCCAAAATACAGGCCCGTCTCAAGGACCCTCGAAAAAACTAATAGAAAATTGAAGTTTTTTACTAAAATTAATTTTTCTAAAAACTGGGTTTTTTTACTTGAAGAATTTTTTTGAAATTAATTTTAGATCCATTGGCATTTTCTAGTCTTAGACGACGTTTTAGGCAAAGAATACACAAGCTAAAAATATCTGTTTTTTTCTTCTATGGAAAACAAAGAACAATATATATATATTTTTTTTCTTTTTTTTTTTGATAAACCTTATCGGCTGATCCGGTCGGTCTCGGTAGGAACGCACCGAGGTGCTACAGAGTGGACTTCTCCCGATCCAGGAAGAATTGGGCCACCACACTGCCTGATCCGAGTTTGGAATACCTTCCGACTAATGCCAGAGGGTAGTCAGGCCGTCTGCATTTCTAACTACCAGGTAAACCAATTGGGCCAAGGCCCAACTGACAGACTTCCCAAACAAATGTGTTTTTGTTTCCAGGGAGAATCGAACTCGGGTCTGGGAATTTCACCCTTCACCAAAGCTTCCTCTGCCACTAAACCACAGAGGCTTGGGCAAGAACTCGGGACAAGAACAATATTTTCTGTGGAGATATTCTCCACTAAGACTAAAAAGGAAAATTTGTGTAGTCCATATTTGGGAAAATTTATGTATTCCATATTTGGGAAACTTTATAAAGATTCTCCAGCTTAGCATGCGAGTTGTAAAAGACTCCTCCCCGTACAATTATCATGATATATCATGCTAACCACATAATATTTTACTTAATTTAATATTACTATATGTGTAAGTGTTTAGTACCAATGTTTTTTTTTTTCCTTTTTGATAAAAGGTAGTTTAGTACCAATGGTATTGGTACACGTTTTTGTTAGAACGTAATGGTAATCAAGAAATTGCAGATTAACTCATTTGTGTCTAGTTACACCTCTTAACTAAGTCTCCATTTTTGTCCAGTAAAATTAAATGGAGCGATGGAATCGCACACAGCAAGCTTAGAATTTGTATTTGCATGCATGCACATGCTTCACATAAAAGCGAGAGTGTGAAGTACACGCGTATGTATATTTGTTTTTGATCAACTACATGAGTCTGTTTTACCAAAAAAAAATAAAAAACTACATGAGTCTGTATTTTCGTATATAAATATCTTATGCTTATACATTTGAATCCAATACAATAGCATAGAAGCGAATAATTCAGACAAAAACCATATGCCAAAGAGATCTCCGCAATCTTTCTTGGAATACTATTGTACTAAAATCTAATAAAGTTCTAACAAATGTATATTTAAAAGTTTTCTTCAACTTGGGTTTCTACACACTTTCAAAATATTTTTATATGTTTCTTTCGTGTTCGGTTAGATATGATTCAAAGATGTCAGTTTCCCATTTCGATGGACTCATCATTTTATGGATGTAAAGTTTGAATGGTAAAAATAGATTGATTGACATTTTGTTATTTTCCTTGATTTTTAATTTTCTACACATTTTCTAAATTCTAAAATAATTATTTTGAAAAAATAAAATAAATTTATATATAATTCTAAATATTTTACGTACATCTTAAAACATCTAAACTTGGTTCGGTGTAAAAACAAAAAATACATCTCAACTTGGTTGGATGTTTGTGTGCGGTAAGCATTGCAACAGAACCTCGAGTTTTTTTTCTTTCCTTTTCACAATCACTTATTTCTATTTGGGATGAAAAAAGAAAGCAACAAGGTCTTTTTAAATATTTCTCAGAGTTGATTAATACAATGAGAAGTAAATTTGAGAACTTGATTGAGTGTATATATTACAGATTTACAGTAAATAATAATATTCTTTGATTCTGGAAACATATATAAACAAAACTAGTATGGAAATTAGAAAAATTAAATAAAAACCAAATTAACAGAGTACGTACATCGTGATTCTTCGCTGTATATTCCAAAAAAATCATGTGCCCCGAGATCCAAGCTAAGCTGACCACGCAATTGTACTACATATTGATTAATTAATCACAAATATTATTTATTTGGATTTTTTCGTAATAAACAAAAGCTATTTAATTTTAATCCTCGGACAGTTAAGATTATAAAAGACCAAAACAATATGCTAGAAAAAACCAAACAAAAAAAACCGTTAAGTTATTAGTATTTGAAAGTACACATTTTACCATATTTAACACCACAAATTGCGTCTACAAAAGTAAATAATACCACAAGTTGCAAGATGTGATTAAATTCATGGAGCAAAGTCTTTCGAAACACACAAAAAATAATCGACAAACTCTATGGATCGGAATAGTGATATAGTTCTATCATTATTCTTTTTCATATCAGTTCACTTCTCTATTAATTCACCAATCGACTGTCTTGACTTTTGAATTTGATGATGATATAAAATTGGCGTAATGAATGTGAACAAAAAAAAAAAATTGGCGTATAATGAAGAAATCATAATTGATAAACCAACTTGGTTATTTTTTTCGTTTTTAAAAATTTAGTGTTGGTTTATAAGCAATACTAAAGTTATAGTTAGATAGGGTCGTTTTAAAAAACTAAGTCAAATCCAGCAAAACTAAAAAAAATTGAAACTTCTTTGTTGCGACAAATTTACATTATATAACTATCTTCTGAAGTGATCATCGGAATTCGCACTTGGAAGTTGGAACCTAATTGTTGAAGCCATGTTTCAAATAAAATGGTTTCATCGCTATTTATTCCTAAAATTAATATAAAATATATATAATTTATCATGATCTATTAAAAATAAACAATAAATTATAATTTTCACTCAATAAATTATCATTGTATTTTAAATTTCATTTATAAGGAAAGTGCAATAATTAATTTATGATGAGTAATGTAACACTACTAATGTTGTTCTGATTTTCATAATAAATTATACAAATGTTATATAAAGGGTAGTGAGACGGAGTACCATGTAATTTGATTTGTATTACTAATAGATTGAGTTATATAGGAATCATGATCCATTGATTATGAATTCTTGAAATAGACTTGTAATTGATTGATCTCAATGAACTAACCAAAAAAGGCGAACGTTTGATTGATTATTCCAAATTTGCAATTAATCAACTGATTGATGGACATGGGTATCAAAATAATAATAAAAGAAAGAACAAAAACAAACTAATTTAAGAACACGCAAAATAGAAAATACCAGTAATTGAATTATTTAATCTCATCACTAATAAAACCAAAACCAAAATGTAATTATATATGTTTGTCTGTACATGCTCACATTAGTATATGTTTTTGATCAAGTATGTAACCACATAAATCTTCATGGGTTATTATAGTAATCTTCAATGTTTTTGCATATAATCTTCATTGTACTAAACGTTATGGTCAAGCTAATAATTTAGTACAATGCAAATAATTCCCATTGTCTATTAATTTCCCAAATGTATATGGATCATGGATGCATAGTCCCATTGTCTATTAATATCCTCCTATACTCGTGACGTGACCAAAAAAAGAGAGAGGAATCCTCCTACTATAATCAAGTATCACCTTTTAGATAATATACTAAAATGTCATAGGATCACTTTTTTCCGAACTTTAATCTGTTCCCTATATAGTGAAACATAGAGAAATATGAAAACTAGAATACAAATGCGGAAATAAAAATTGAAAGTTAATGCTTCAATTTTAGTAAGGATAAAACGGAAATTTGTTCCCTACTAATATTAACAATTTTAAAACCTAAGATGTTGTTGTAAATAACAAGTAAATACCGTTTAACATTGACTACTTAAGTTCGAGTAGCATTGACCACCGGGGTTCGAATTCTAACATGATTTTCTCGGACTCTATGATTAGTCTTTAGACCTATAAAACTTTTATGATCACTTGGGTTATAAAAAAAATAAGGGATTATTGTTGATTTTGCCATTTTTCATAGAAATCTTTTGAAATTGCCATTTTTACTAAAATCTTACGGATATGCCATTTTCTAACACTTAAAAATGTACGTATTTCGGATTTTTTTTGGTAAAAATACGTAGTTTATACAAAATATTAAACCCTAAGAACAACCACAACCGACTAACCCAAACATAACGAATAAAACGCATGTTAAATCATATTTCCGTAGCCTGAAAAGGGCAAAATCCATAAACTATTCAAAAAAGGACAAAATTCACAAATGTCATCCCAAAAAATGGCAAATCCATAATTGATTTAAAAAAAAACAAATAAATACCGTTTTTTTGGTGCAAAAATATATTCACAAAATTACATTAAACTAATAGAAATTTTGTGCATAAATGTGATGAGCGTGTTTTTCTACAGAACAATGGCGTAGTCTTCAATAAATTTTTAAACAAACACTCGATCTTCGACACCTATGTCAAAAAGCTCACCTTCCTTTCAAAGCAAACATTAATGTTGATCACGATATACTTTTAATCTGTTCACCGAATAATTTTAACTATACTTGAAGATATTATCATTTAATATTTAGGAAACATGTTACAAGAAACTTATACTAAGTATTTTATATTTTATTCAGTGGAGCCAAAACGGATGGAAGCTTCTATATAAACACAAGTTGAAACCATTCATCTTTATTCTATGCAGTTGCAGTCCCCCCTCCACTTCTATATCTTTCCTTCATATATATTTCTCTTGCTCTCACTCTTATATTATAAAATAACATACAAACAAAAGACTTACACTGATCACATATCTATATTGATCAAAGTTAAGAAACCCTACGATTTACAAAATCTCTCTAGCTATACTTTACCATATCATATTACATAATGTCTAACCGAAAATCACGGTCAAGACAAACCGGAGTTCCCATGATCACCGAA